GGCTGGGTGCAATGGCTTGTGCCTGTAATCTCAGCACTTTGGGAGGCCAAGGCAGGTGGATCACCTGAGGTCAGGAGTTTGAGACTAGCCTGGTCAACATGGTGAAACCCCATCTCTACTAACAATACAAAAATTAGCCAGGCATGGTGGCGCACACCTGTAATCCCAGCTACTTGGATGGCTGAGGCAAAAGAATCACTTGAACCTGAGAGGTGGAGGTTGCAGTGAGCTGAGATTGTGCCACTGCACTCCAGCCTGGGTGACAGAGCAAGACTCTGTCTCAAAAAAAAAAAAAAAAAGAAAGAAATTTTAATTTCAAGTATGAGGATGACTTTAGTGTATCAGATAATGAATATGATTTTACCTTTAATTTTTCTTTTTTTTTTTTTTATTATCTCCGGTAGTGGCTATAAACAAACCTTTAATTTTTTTTTAAAGATACAGCATCCTGCTTCTTTCTGCCCCTATACAAATTACCAGAGCAACTGCTGCTATGGGATTAAATTAAAGGAATTCTTAAATGGTTGACTACTAACCCAGTTGCAGAGATTGAATATGGAATTTTGTAGTGATTTATTATAATCCTAGTTTTTGGAAGAAAATTTGCATCACTTAGCAGATATTTAAGATGCTTATAACATTTCATTTCCCCATACACATAAATATGCATTATGTCAGGCATTGGAATGTTTAGCAAACTAATGAAATTTGTAATTTAATTTATCAGGTCACAGCATTTAATGAACTATTCAGTGTCAGTTTATGCCATTAGGTAACAAACAAGATTACATTATTCAGTAATTTATGCAGAAAAGTATTTTATGAATAGTAAAGCATCAAATAAATGCCACTTTTTGTTTTAAAATAATATGTTTAAGAAACAATCCTAAGGGGAGAAGGTCTGCTTTGTCGAATAAAGTAATTAAAGCATTTTTTTTAAAACAGAAGAAAAAATAAAGACAAAACAGGGACAGGCAGGAAAATGTCAGTGTGTTTGCATCAGCCAGGCTGAGCTGTGCTTCAGGAGCAAGCCCCAGATATCAGCGACTTCACACAGTGAACCGTGGCCCCGCTCCGGGGAAGTTGGCACTGCATCTGCCTTCTTCCAGGGCAGTGGTCCTCCAAGTGGTGGCTGCCTGATCCCTCCTGCTTTGCTCTGCGGCTCCACCATCTTGGTTCCTTCTGCTCAGAGCCCGTTGCCAGAACTGGTTGTGGGATCCTGCCTAACTCTAAGGGAATGTGAGGGAGCCATGGAGTGTTTGGGGAGGGCAGTGGTCTCTGCACCACATTCACCACATCCTGACCACCTCTTCTGTGGAACAGGCTCACAACTCATTCATCCAGGTAGCCCGGGTGAGACTCTGAGGCAGGAAAGCCCTCAGTTCAACTTTGTCATCTTTAACCTGTCTCTTCAGTTTGGAATAAGCTGTTTTATACACTGGAGCACATCGTCTAGCAGTCCTTTCTATATGTTCTGAAAGGATGTTGGATGTGTCATGTGAGCTCTGTGTTCTGTGAGCAGTGTTGTTGCTGCCAACTCTGAGATGCTGGCCCAGTGTGTTTTTGTCACCACGTGACTCTGTTAGCATGATCACTGCTGCCTGTAGTTCTTCTTAGAGCTAGGTTGAAGACTAATGCAAAATTGTTTCTTAATTAGCATTTGTTTCTTAGCTATTTCTAGAGTTGCTGCTGAAGGTACTTTATTTTGACTGGTACTGATCTTTGCATACATAATATTAGAGTTCCAGGGAGTTCTGTTTAAACTCCCTAGTAAAATATTCTGATCAAGTACAAGATCAAGGGAGGAGAAAATACAGTTAATTCCTGGAATAGAGAAATTTTTCATCATTAGAAAATACACAAAGGAATAATGATAATTTTTTATAGCAGTGAATTAAATTTAATATGCTACGGCCCGGCCGCCCGTAGCATATTAAAAGATTCCCAGCATCATTCCTTAGCAGGGAAAGGCAAATTAAAACCACCACAGGATACAACCTCCCTCCTAGAATGGCAGTCATGGAAAAGGTTCAAGGGTGCAGGCAGCCAGAACTCACAGACATGGCTCTGGGCGTGAGCATGGGACAGCCATTCAGGAAACTGGTAGTTGAAAGTGAAACAGGGCCGGGTGCAGTGGCTCAAGCCTGTAATCCCAGCACTTTGGGAGGCCGAGGCGGGTGGATCACGAGGTCAAGAGATCGAGACCATCCTGGTCAACATGGTGAAACCCCGTCTTTACTAAAAATACAAAAAATTAGCTGGGCATGGTGGTGCATGCCTGTAATCCCAGCTACTCAGGAGGCTGAGGCAGGAGAATTGCCTGAACCCAGGAGGCGGAGGTTGCAGCGAGCCGAGACCGCACCATTGCACTTCAGCCTGGGTAACAAGAGCAAAACTCCGTCTCAAAAAAAAAAAAAAAAAAAAAAGTGAAATAGGCCAGGCACAGTGGCTCACACCTGTAATCCCAGCACTTTGGGAAGCTGAGGCGGGTGGTCACCTAAGGTCAGGAGTTCAAGACCAACCTAGTCAACAAGGCAAAACCCTGTCCCTGCTAAAAAAAAAAAAAAAAAGAAAAAAAAATGCCAGCTGTGGTGGCGGGTGCCTGTAATCCCAGCTACTTCAGAGGCTAAAGCATGAGAATCACTTGAATGTGGGAGGTGGAGGTTACAGTGAGCCAAGATTGTGCCAGTGTACTCCATCCTGGGTGACAAAGTGAAACTGTCTCAGAAAAAAACAAAAATGAAACAAGTACCTATCCTATGGCTAGCAAGTCTACTTCCAGGCATTTATTCAAGGAAATCAACACATGTTCAAAAAAAAAAAAAGGCTCCCACGAGAGTGATTATCGCCATGTCGCTCCTAATAGTGCATAGTTCATCAGCAGGTGAACGGAGAACCTTGCCTTGTCATGTGCTTGCAGTGAAGTCATGTGTGACGATGAAGACGAGTGGCACCGTGGTAACACTTCCCTGCATGGCGCTGCGTGAAGGAAGCCCGACGCCAGAGCATGCATGCTGCGATTCTGCTCTGGGAACCTCTAGTATAGACTGAACTCACCTGTGGGATAGAAGTCAGTTCAACAGGCTGGGCACAGCGGCTCACGCCTATAATCCCAGCACTAGCCTGGCCAACATGGTGAAACCCCGTCTCTACTAAAAATGTAAAAATTAGCTGGGTGTGGTGGCAGGCGCCTGTAATCCCAGCTACTCGGAAGCTGAGGCAGGAGAATTGCTTGAAGCCGGGAGGCTGAGGCTGTAGTGAGCGGAGATCATACCACTGCACTTCAGCCTGGGCAACAAAGAGAGACTGTCTCAAAAAAAAAAAAACAAAAACCCAGGAGGCAGAGGTTGCAATGAGCCAAGATTACACCACTGCACTCAAGCCTGGACAGCAGAGCGAGTCTCTTGTCTCAAAAAAAAAAAAAAGAAAAAAAGAAAAAAAGAAGTCACTTCAGCAGTTGCCTCAGGGTAGAGGGCATTGACCAGAAGGTTGTTGAGGGAACATTTTGGGGTGACAAAGTTGTTTAAAACTTTGGGCGGGTGTGGTGGCTTACACCTGTAATCCCAACACTTTGGGAGGCTGAAGAGGGTCGATCACTTGAGGTCAGTTCAAGACCAGCCTGGCCAACTGGTGAAACCTGTCTCTACTAAAAATGCAAATATTAGCTGGGCATGGTGGCACATGCCTGTAATCCCAGCTACTTGGGAGGCTGAGGCATGAGAATTACTTGAACTCAGGAAGTGGAGGTTGCAGTGAGCTGAGATCACGCCACTGAATGCCAGCCTAGATGACAGAATGAGACTCTGTCTCAAAAACAAAACAAAAACATCGAATTGGACTTAGCCCTGAAGATCTGTGCATTGCGCTGTAGGGAAAGTCTCAGAGGTCAGAGGTTGCTGATTCCGAGGAGCCAGGCTGACCTGGGTCCAAATTGCAGATCCTCCTCTGCCTCCTTGACTGGCTGCCTCCTGCCACGCAGCCCTCAGCAGATCTCTTTCTGGCCGAGTCCCAGTGGTCTCATGGGCAAAGTGGGACAATACTCACCAGGTGTCATTGCTGTGGGGTTTGAGATGAGTGTATGAAGACCTGGCTGACAGCCTCTCCACAGCAGCTACTCAGGAACTGTTGACTGCTGTTCTCTTAGCCAGACTATTATCAGATGTAATTTCTATTTTTAAAAAACTTCAATTTCCTTTCCTCTTAAAATCAGTCTCAATAGCAATGAGAAAGAAATAAAAATGAATATTATTTGGGAGACTTGGTTTTTTTTTTTGTTTTTTCGAGATGAGGCCTCAGTCACCCAGGCTCAAGTGCAGTGGCACCATCGTGGCTCACTGCAGCCTCGACTTCCTGGGCCCAAGCGATCTCAGCCTCCCGAGTGGCTGGAACTACAGGCGTGCGCCACCATGCCCAACTCATCTATGTATTTTGTAGAAACAGTCTCACTATGCTGCTCAAATTGGTCTTAAACTTCTGGTTTTAACTGATCTATCCCCCATGACCTCCAAAAGTGCTAAGATTACAGGTGTGTACCACTGTGCCCAGTCAGTTTAATTCTAATTAAGATCCAGATTATCTGTAAATATGAGTTCCCTCTCTCCAGATCCAGAATTTACTGGCATTAGTCGCATGTCCGAGGAAGCTGGCGATGGGACCCACATGGAGATACTAATCCCAGGGCTTGGTGGTTCAGGACACTGCTGACAGCATCTTGACTGCTTTGCCTGTTGCCTGGAAGGGGTGCTGTGTGGCACCTGGCAGGTGGCAGAGTGGCCAGAGGCTGTCATAACTCATGAGTTACGATGTCCTCAAGCCCAGCCACATCCACATAGCTGATGCAGATGGACTGGGGCAGATCAGATGACTTAGTGTCCAAGTTCAGTTGCAAATGCAGCTTCCTTTCTTTCTTTGAAGTAGAAAATCAAAGTTCATAGATTAGGTGAAAGATTAGTCATTGTACAAAACGTAATTACGATGTGTGTACTTTTCTTTGTCTATAGGAGCTGTAAAGTTGACAAGCTTGGCATGTGGAAATCAGCACATCTGGGCCTGTGATTCCAGGGGTGGAGTCTACTTCCGTGTAGGGACTCAGCCTCTCAATCCCAGTCTCATGCTTCCAGCCTGGATAATGATTGAGCCACCTGTCCAGGTAAGCATAAGTTAGCTGGTGGGAACTCACTCTTCAGTAAGACAGAAACTGAGGATGCTGGGACTGGGGAAAAAGATCCCCACAGCCTCTAGAGGCCTCCCAGCAAATGCCAGGAGCCATGCCCCCAGGGTCTCCACACTCTCGCTCACGGACATCACAGTTGGAATTCAGTATTTGTGAAGTTTAGAGCTGAACAGATTGTTACAGATTAGGAGTCAACACGTATTTTTTCTCTTTCAAAATTAAAATATTTTGTTTCTGACTTTTTACTAAGTGAATTTTACTTTTAAAATCTGCCTATATATATTGGAACCTCTATTTTATAATAATAACAGTGATAATAAATCAGTACCCAAAAGTATAAAGAAGAAAGTAAAAGTCACTTCGATTCTTGTCATGGAGAAAATGCCAAGTGCCTCTCCCGGTTTGTTGAAGAAATTCCATTTCCTGCCTAGCCCACCCCTGGCCAGCTCCTGCCGCGTTTCAGCTGACAGCACATCCCAGGAGAGGGTCTGTGTTCTCCTGACTCTTCCAGCCCTCAGCTCACAAGCAGAAGTCTGATTTTAATGTACTATCTAGTTACCCTTGAAGATCCCACCGACGTGGTTCCCAGGCTGAATAGATTTCTGTTGCAGTTCATAACTAGGGGCTGTGGTTTTCTGTTCTTTTTTTTGTTTTTTGGGTTTTTTTAGGGGCTGTGGTTCTCTGACACTTGTTTTCCCAGACTCCTGCTAGGCCCCTTTGGTAACTGCTGGGAAACAGGTGAAGGTGCCGAATGTGGACGCAGCAGTGGGGAGGGAGGAATGATTCCTTGTTGGGCAGAGAAACCTTCAGTGGAGTCACAAAAGAGATAAAGTCGGGTAAATGCCTTTGTGGGTAACTATCCACGTTCTGGGCATGGTGAGGCCTCAGGGCTGAGGACACCAGTCCTGCCCACCAGCCCTGGGGAGTGTGGCTGGTGGGAAACCCTTTACTGAAATCAGCATTCGGCTCCAGAGCTCTGTGGAGGCCACCACTAGCAGTCATGGCCACAGGGAGGCTTCTCGTTTTCGTTGGTGGGTCTTCCTCCTCCACAGGTTTATGGGGATGATAATGTCTCTGACAGCACTTTGCAAATGATACAGCACTGTGCAAACATGAGGTTGTACATAATGAATTATAACGCAGGCTCCCTTATCCCTCACGGACAGTGACGTACTCACAGTGGTATACAGAGAGCAATCCGCCCTGCAGAGAGGAGCCTTTTTGACTGCCATTGTTCAGCACTACTGGGGTGCAGTGAGGATGAAAAGCAAGCTGCTTGTTGTTAGTTTCATTATTGTTCTTAAATTCTCTGGTTACCTTCACCCAAGTGGACTCCTCTGACACATCACTGTCAATACGTTCCTTTTTTTTTTTTCTAATCCTTTATATTCTTCCTTTTAAGTTATAAAAGGAAGTAGCATAAAAATTCAGCCTTCTACAGTATGCAGCTCAGGGTTTCTAGCATATTCACAGAGTGTGCAAGTTAGGACTAGCCAATTCCAGAATGTTTCATCACTCCAAAAAAAAAAAAAGAAAACCCTTACCCATTAGCAGTCACTGCCTGCTCTCACAGAACCCCCAGCCCCTCCGCCCATGGCAGCCACTGATCTACTTTCTAGTTCTATGGCTTTGCCTATTCTAGACATTTTATATAAATTGGATCACATAATATGTGGCCTTTTTTATCTGACATCTTTCACTTTGTATCATGTTTCAGAGTTCATCCATGTTGTAGATCTATCGGTTCTTAATTACTTTTTTCCACTAAATAACAGTTCTGTTGTATGGATAGGCCACATCAGTTTATCATTTCACCAGTGGATGGACATTTCGATTGTTTCTGCTTATTGGCTACTGTGAATAATGCTGCTGTCAGCATCTGTGTCCAAGTCTTTAGGGAGGATGTATGTTCTCAGTTCTATTGCGTGTCTGCCTGTAAGTGGAACTGCAGGTCATATGGGGATTCTGTATTGAACTTATTATTAATATTTTGATGAAGTCTCCCTCTCGTCCAGGCTGTAGTGCAATGGGGCGATCTCAGCTCACTACAACCTCTGCCTCCCAGGTTCAAGTGATTCTCCTGCCTCAGCCTCCCCAGTAGCTGGGACTACAGGCGTCTGCCACCACACCTGGCTAATTTTTTTTTTTTTTTCCTTTTTTTTTGAGACGGAATTTCGCTCTTGTTACCCAGGCTGGAGTGCAATGGCGCAATCTCGGCTCACCGCAACCTCCGCCTCCTGGGTTCGGGCAATTCTCCTGCCTCAGCCTCCTGAGTAGCTGGGATTACAGGCACGCGCCACCACGCCCAGCTAGTTTTTTGTATTTTTAGTAGAGACGGGGTTTCACCATGTTGACCAGGATGGTCTCCATCTCTCGACCTCGTGATCCACCCGCCTCAGCCTCCCAAAGTGCTGGGATTACAGGCTTGAGCCACCGCGCCCGGCCGCTGGCTAATTTTTGTATTTTTAGTAGAGACGGGGTTTCACCATATTGGTCAGACTGGTCTTAAACTCCTGACCTCATGATCCGCCTGCCTCAGCCTCTCAAAGTGCTGAGATTATAGACATGAGCCACCGCGCCCGGCCACGTTGAAATTTTTAAGGATGTCAAAGTATTTTTCACGGTGGCCACACCATTTTATGTTCCACCAGCAAGACACAAGAGTTTTTGTTTTTCCCATCCTCACCAAAAACAAATTGTATCCAATTTTTTTTTGTTTTGAGACAAAGTTTTGCCTTTGTTGCCCAGTCTGGAGTGCAATGGTGCAATCTTGGCTGACTACAACCTCCACCTCCTGGATTCAAGCAATTCCCCTGTCTCAGCCTTCCAAGCATCTGAGACTACAGGCATGTGCCACCATGCCCAGGTAATTTTTTTTGTAATTTTGGTAGAGACGGGGTTTCACCATATTGGCCAGGCTGGTCTCAAACTACTGACCTTTGGTGATCCACCTGCCTTGGCCTCCCAAATTGTTAGCATTACAGGCGTAAGCCACTGCATCCAGCCCTTATTGTTGAGTTTTATATAAGAGTTCTGCCGGACGCGGTGGCTCAAGCCTGTAATCCCAGCACTTTGGGAGGCCGAGGCGGGTGGATCACGAGGTCAAGAGATCGAGACCATCCTGGTCAACATGGTGAAACCCTGTCTCTACTAAAAATGCAAAAAATTAGCTAGGCATGGTGGCGCGTGCCTGTAATCCCAGCTACTCAGGAAGCTGAGGAGGGAGAATTGCCTGAACCCAGGAGGCGGAGGTTGCGGTGAGCCGAGATCGCGCCATTGCACTCCAGCCTGGGTAACAAGAGCAAAACTCCGTCTCAAAAAAAAAAAAAAAAAAAAAAAAAAAGAGTTCTTTTTTTTTTTTTTAAGACATGGTTTCACCATGTTGGTCAGGCTGGTCTTGAACTCCCAACCTCAGGTGATCCGCCCACCTTGGCCTCCAAAGTGCTTGGATTACACGCCCAGCCATAAGAGTTCTTTATGTATTCTGGGTACTAGACCAATATGAGATATATGCTTTGCAAGTATTTTCTTCCATTCTGTGCATTGTCTTTTACTTTCTCTATGATCTTTGATGCACAAATATTTTTATTTTTATGAAGTCCAGTTGATTTTTTCTTCAGTTGCTTCTGTTTTTAGTTGCCTAATCTAAGGTCACAAAGATTTACCCCTGTTTTCTTCCAGTAGTTTTATAGTTTTAGCTCTTACATTAAATGCTTCATCCATTTTGAGTTAATTTTTGTATATGGTATGAGATATGTATCCAAATGAATTCTTTTACATGTGGATATCCAATTGTACCAGCACCTTTATTGAAAAGACTATTATGTCTGCATTAAATTATTTTAACACCCTTGTCAAAATCAATTGATCATAAATATAAGGGGTTACTACTGCACTCTTAGTTCTATACCAGTGATCTGTGTGTCTTTCCTTATCCTACACTGTCCTGATTAGTTAGCTTTGTCGTAAATTTTGAAATCAGGAAGTATGAGTCCTCCAACTTTTTCTTTTTCAAGATTGTTTTGGCTATGTATGAAGTCCCTCCTACATCCATGTGAATTTTAGAATAAGTTTGTCAATTTCTGGGAAAAAAAAGTAACTGGAATTTTGAAAGGAATCGTGTTGAATCAGTAGAACAATTTGGAAAAGGTTCCAGTCTGTGAACATGGGATTTCTTTCCATTTATTTAGATCTTCTTTACTTTCCTTCACCAATGTTCTGTAGCTTTCAGAGTATATGTTTTATACTGGTTTTGTTAAGTTTATTTCTAAGTTCTTTATTTCTTTGGATACTATTGTAAATGTAATTGTTTTCTTCATTTTCAGATTGCTCATTGCTAGTATAGGTTTTTGTATATTGATCTGGTGTCTGGCAACCTTGCTAAACTTGTTTATTGGGTCTAACAAGTTTTTGTAGATTCCTTTGCATTTTCCATAGATGAGATAATGGCTTCTGATATGGGCTGCCAATAGAGATAATTTTACTTCCTCCTTCCTCTCTGGATGTATTTTATTTTATTGTCTTGCCTGATTGCCCTGGTTGGAATTTCTAGTACGGTGTTGAATAGAAGTGGTGAGAGTGGGCATCCTTGTCTTGTTTCTGATCTTAAGGGGAAGGCATCCAGTTTTGTACCATTAAATGTGTTGTGAGCAGCTGGGCAAGGTGGCTCATGCCTATAATCGCAGAACTTTAGGAGGCTAAGGCAGGCGGATCACCTGAGGTCAAGAGTTTGAGACCAGCCTGACCAACATGGAGAAACCCTGCCTGTACTCAGAGTACAATATTAGCCGGGTATGGCAGTGCATGCCTGTAATCCCAGCTACTCGGGAGGCCGAGGCAGGAGAATCACTTGAACCTGGGAGGCGGAGGTTGTGGTGAGCTGAGATCGCCCATTGCATTCCCTGGGTAACAAGAGCAAAACTCCATCTCAAAAAAAAAATACACACACACACACACACACACACACACACACACGA